GAGTCTTCTGTCAAGTCTACAATGGTATCACGTGTTGCGTCTGTGGCACTTTGCTCCGACGAAGGCCTAACACTCGAAACGTCAGCTTTACAAACTCACTACGGCACTGTAGCGTACACTATTGAGTTATGGATGCACGCGAGAGGTTTCTAAGCACGAAAGAAGCGTAAGAGTCGCACGAGGCGATAGCCGACTCTAGCTTCTTGAGTGCTTAGCAAACCTCCCAAGTGCATCCATAATTCAATAGTTAACAGTTCTGGCGCCGTAGAGAGTTCGTAAAGCTGGCGTTTCGAGTGTTAGGTCTTCGTCGGAGCAAAGTGCCACAGACGCAGCCCAATTTATTTTGTAACATAATATTGACACATTGGAGCAAAAGAAGTCCTTAATTTTATTGAGCTACATCACATTAGCACACACGTCAGCAGCGTACACCCATGGGCAAATAGTAGACGATGATTTAACCAATCAGAACGCGCGCTTTGCTTTAGTTATGTTCTAATTGACATTCCTCGACTGTAAGTCAATAAATAGATCATCGTATCAGCTCTAGCCTTCATAACGAGCCAGACAGTCTTTATAGCAACCACAAAACAGTCTTGGAATCCCGTGGAAATGAAGAACTATTAGTCATTGATCTCCACGTGACGTCTAGTGGCTTACAACATTTCATTGCGATTAGATCCATGTCGATGATCTTTTCTGTGAGGAAACTTTCGCACGAATCTGTTATTATCCCTACTATAATCCGAAAGCGTGAAAGTTCGCTCATTGTGCATGTTCGTACTCGCTTTACTTTTTAGTCCTCCTGTTCCTGCGCTCGCGCAGTAGAGGATGAGAGTTCAACCGTAATTAACGCAACTCTTCTCATTTCCTCGTTTAGCCCAGGATTTATTTAAGGCAGCTGGAAACAGGCACTTCCCAACAGGAATACTTCGAAGGATTATCTTTTACCACCAGTCTTGATCAGATGACGTTTGAATATTGATAAGATTAGTAATTTTGATCCTAAAGGTAGCATTTGGATACGAAAAAAAATCAGTTATTTTCCCTTTTATTGTGATTTCATTCAGTTTTAAAGCCCTATTTTTATGATAAAAAAAGATTGATCGCGAATAGAGCTTGCAAATGGTATATCCGGAAAAGAATACATACCTCTTACTAACCGAGCTCGAGGTCCGTACTGTAAGTTACGGACCGAGTTTTTTCTCCTTCGATTTATGGCCCAAGCGCGAAGCGCG